AGAGAGAGAGAGAGAGAGAGAGAGAGAGAGAGAGAGAGAGAGAGAGAGAGAGAGAGAGAGAGGTTGGTGACTTTGGGACTTGCTGACATTTGGGTCCAGACTCGACATTGGGATTCAGACATTTGACGAGTGATTATTTGGGACCTGTACCGAAGACTTGGTGTTGACAACATTCCCATCTTCCCCGCTTCTTCGTCTAACCCCTCTCTTCTTCGTCTGTGTATGGTTGGGGACGAGCGCATTCTTCCTGTGTGAGCGCCAGGCCCCTTCACACCATGGAATGATGATGATGTATTTCTGGTCTGCATGGCAACATTGATTGTTCGGATCATTGGTATTTAAGCCTTCCGCTGTGCTATCTTGTACTATGTGAGAGAGGTCGGTTCTTGTTCTGCTCTGCACCTTTACGGTATGCGACAGTTTGGTATCGTAGCGGACCTCTCAATCAGAGGACCCGCTCAATCAAGTAGCCAGCTTGCTTGATCTATTGATTGTTGATTGACTGATTGATTGATTGATTGACTGATTGATTGATTGATTGATTGATTGATTGATTGATTGATTGATTGTGTATAAGTAAATCAAGTAGGACTTCGTCAAATCTCTGCAAAAAAAAATAAAAAATCTCGCCACAAATGTCTGAAAATTTCTGATAATAGCATTTCGTTTTTTTCTGAAAATTTCTGATATTAGCATTTCGTTTTCACGCAACAAATATCTGAAAATTTCTGATTGTAGCATTTCGGTCTTCTGATATTTGCATGCATAGCCGAAAATTTCTGATGTTAGCATTTCGTTTTCTAGGCATATTAAGATAACGATAGAGGTTGTCATGTTCTCAGAGACTGGAATTATTCTTCTCTGAAAGCGGAACCTCCACTCTATTTAGCGCAAAAAAAAAATTCAAGATCGCATTTATTTTTTAAAGCCGAAACTTTGCGGAACCTTGCCTAGATCTCGCTCATAGTACTCCTCTGAAATGCCTCACTCATAGCAGATCGACAGATATACACAAAAAAAAAAAGGGGGGGGGGTGATCCTCTTCTYTTATTTTTTATTTTTATTTTATTCTGTTGATTAGGACCGGGAGGAAAGTACAGTTTGGTTGGTTCCTTTCCTGCGTTTTCCTCCCACCCAACCCTTTGCCTGCATTCCCAGTTTGGTAGTGCCACATCAGCAACAGTGCCATGTCAGCAACAGTGCCACGTCAGCAGTACCACATCAGCAAGAGTGCCACGTCCGCAGTGCCACGTCAGCAACAGTGCCACGTCAGCATCAGTGCAAGTACCTACAGGCTGAAGCGGCGGCAGTAGCTGAAAAGCAGCGACTTCAGGCCGAAGCTGACGCAGATGCCCAGGTCCGCCGCAAGGAGGCCCAGGATCTGCTACAGCGGCACAAAGCCGCCAGCATCGAAAAACTCAAGTTCTGGCATTTTGAACCATCCGAGAACCACGAAGACGCGACACCGGAAGAGCAGCACAAGGAATTTCTCGCCAAACTCGTAACCCGGTTGGTTTACACTTGTAATAACCTGCAGTCTGAGCTGGAGAATCTCCGACGGGCGGTGCGGAACCACAAGGATCAGCACGAGGATGCTACACGGGCACTTGATTGCCGTGTACAGGACTTGGAGCAAGTTGCACCAAGACCAAATGCTGGCGAGTCCAGCAGTGCACCCTCTACCCGCCAATTGGAGGAACGAGTTGACCACGCAGTCACAATGCTCGGCGACATCAGCACCTTCGCTGCAACAGCCACCATCAGCAAGCAGATGGACACCTTGAAGACTGAGGTTCAGCAACTGCACCAGCTGCCCAACAGGGATGGCAACACCAGTGCGCAGCACTACAAGATGCCGACATTCCGCATCGAAAAGTTCGATGATTATATGCATCAAGACCCGGTCCCCTGGTGGGAGGGCTTTATGAGGCAACTTCGGATTCTTTTTGTCCCCGAGCACTCGTACATCGGCGCGTTGTTCCTCAACTCAAAGGGCGGATGCCAGATCTGGCTCAGCCACCTGGCAACCATCCACGGCGTCAAGGTTGCCGATCTACATGAGAAGATCTCTTGGGAAGAGTGGACGACGCCCCGACACTCGCCATCAACCGCCTCTTCGCCATGTCCCAAGGCAACACACCAACACACGACTGGCTCACGGAATGGCAAAAGATCGCTGCAACGCCCGATCTTGAGTTGCCATTTTCGCATCTGCGCCAGGAGTTCTACAACTGGTCATGTGCCGCCTTGAGCCTCACACTTGGTGATCACGAGCAATATACGACCTTCGCCGAAATCATTGATAAGGCAATGGAGATCATCAAGACCAACAGGGCGGGTGCACACGAGAAGTCAGCGTGGCAGCCAACCTATGCGGAAAAAGGAAAATTAGTCCACGTTCGCAGCATGTCGCTGCAGTCCAACCGGACAACATTGTGGAAGACCCGGCAGCCACCCAAGCATCACGTGAGGGAGATCAAGCGGCCGCTGTCCAGCCGCGAAGCAACAACAACTCCTAAGGAAAAGAGAAGGCGAAAACCACATCGCCCGCCAGCAACGGACAGCCAGCTCCATGGGTCAAGTTTCACTTGACCGAGACCGAATACAAGTGACGCGGCCAGTATGCCTGCTGCTATTGGTGCAATTGCACCAAGCACAAGACCTCCCAATGCCCGGATCAAGGCAAGAAGAATGTTCGGCCTCGCATCAACTTGGGAAACTGAGTTGCACGGGAGGTGAGGCGACTCCACCTCTCACTCCGCCAGATTCGGCCACCTTGCTAGCGGCCTCCTACACATCTGGGGAGGATGCGAATGTCACGAGTCCTCGGTTCACTTATGAGGATTATGTTGTCCACTTGGTCCCACCGTTGGACCAACCACTCCATGTGCAACAATCTACCGCATGCACGTTCGGCGGCTTCGCTGCCATCTATCGTCGGGGATTCAACATCATGGTCAAGACTTGAAGAGCTCGACCCGTTGACGTTCGCGGACTTCCAATGGATGCCCCTTCCCCTGTCCGGTCGATTGTCGAAACCGCATTTCATTGTGATCATGGCACAATTGCAGGATTACTTGCACACTGTAGTACCAGCTCAATTGATGGACGTCGGAGTAGAGGTTGTCGACCTTCACGACTACGTTGTGAAGATCGACCGCGAGTTCAAGACACAACGGTACGACGACATCGACGCCCCATTGTTGTACATACGCATTCAGATCGGAGCGGCGACCTGCAGCGCTTTGATCGATTGCTGAGCTACTCGCAACTACATGAGCCAAGACTTTATGGTACGCGCTGGCCTTGGGCCATGCGTTCGGAGGAAGTTGAAGCCCTCGCAAGACACGTTGGCCGACAGTCAAATGCACAAGTCAATCGACCGATGCATTGATTCTGTCCCCGTGTACTTCGCCCAGCATGCAAGCTAGGCCGTGTCCTTCGACATTTTAGACACTCAATTCGACATGATCTTAGGCATGTCATAGCTGTGGAGCGAGGATCACCCGGTGAACTTCTACCACCACCCCGTTCATGTTCGTGATCGGAATGGAGTACTAGTCCCATGCACGGTGCCTCCTCCTTACCCTACGATCAGCTGCCACGTGGTGTCCGCCGCAAGCATTCGAGCTTCCATCAGCAGGGATGACATCGAGGAGATGGGGGGGTGTTTTTTCCACGCCCTCCCGCCCCATGACATTCCATCGACGGACTCATCACCGGACCCACGCATCACCGAGCTTCTCGACGCCTACGACGACGTGTTTGAATCCCCGCACGGAGTAGTACCGGATCGGCCCATCCGCCACGAGATCACCCTCGAGGCTGGGGTCGTACCTCCGCATGCCACGTGGTGTCCTCCGCAAGCATTCGAGCTTCCATCATCAGGGATGACATCGAGGAGATGAGGGGGGTGTTTTCTCCACGCCCCCCCGCCCCATGACATTCCATCGATGGACTCATCACCAGACCCATGCATCACCGAGCTTCTCGACGCCTACGCGACGTGTTCGAAGCCCCGCACGGAGTAGTACCAGATCGGCCCATCCGCCACGAGATCACCCTCGAGGCCGGGGCCATACCTTTGCGTGGTTGCATCTACCGCATGAGCGAGGAAGAGTTAAGTGTGCTACGGGCACAACTTGACGACCTTCTCGAGAAAGGCTGGATTCGGCCTAGCTCTTCGTCATACGGTGCCCCCGTTCTCTTTGTCCGGAAGAAGAAGAAGGATTTGTGGTTGTGCATCGATTATCGCAAGCTCAACGCGCAGACCGTCATGAACGCCGACCCTCTTCAGCGCATCGACAACCTCCTCGAACAGCTGGGCGGCGCCAAGTTCTTCTACAAGCTTGACCTCAAATCGACATATAACCAACTCAAGATCTGGCAGGAGGACCGCTACAAGACCGGGTTTAAGACGCGATATGGGCATTTCGAATGGCTGGTTATGCCTTTTGGCCTTACGAATGCCCCGGCCACATTCCAAGCGGCTATGACAACGGAGTTCCGACACATACTGGATAGATTCGTACTCATCTACCTCGACGACATCTTGGTGTATAGTCGGAGTTTGGATGAGCATGTGGAACACCTGCACACCGTTTTGGAGCAGCTACGACAAGCCAAGTACAAAGCCAACCGCGACAAATGTGAATTCGCGCGGCAAGAGTTGGAGTACTTGGGACATTATGTGACGTCGCAAGGCATCCGCCCGCTTGCGGACAAGATCGAGGTCATCCGTGTATGGCCCGAACCCACCAACACCACGAACGTTCGCTCATTCATGGGGTTGGTGAGCTCCTATCAACGCTTCATCATTAGGTACTCAAGGATTAGCGCACCTATGACGAGATTACAATCGCCAAAGGTGCCATTCGGTTTTGATGACGACGCACGTCGGTCATTCCAAGCACTCAAGACGGCCATGCTCATGGCACCCGTCCTTAGCATCTACGACCCCACCCTGGCAACGAGAGTGACAACTGACGCTTCCGGCTATGGCATTGGGGCAGTCTTGGAGCAACACTACGACGACGACAAGCACCCCGTGGAGCATTTCAGCCACAAAGTGCTTCCCATCAATTCACTTGATGATGCAAGGAAGAGGGAGCTGCTCGCATTCGCGATGGCTCTCAAGCGATGGCAACACTTCCTCCTTGGGCGTCGTAGGTTCACATGGGTCACGGACAACAACCCATTGATCTACTACAAGACGCAGGATACGGTGAGCAGCATGATCGGACGATGGATGTACTTCATCGACCGAGTTGACTTCACATCAAAACATCTCGCCGGCCTCTCCAATCGCGCAGCAGATGCACTCTCGTGACGACCCGATCTTTGCGCTATGACACATCATGCCTTCGCATTCGACAGGGAACTCCAACGACACTTCATCCAGGGCTATGAGTCCGATCCGGATTTCGCCACGTTGTATGCACAGCTATCTTCGGATCACCCGCCGGCCAGCCACTATCGCATCGTCGACGGGTACTTGCTCCTCCACTCGAGAGGCGAGGACTTATTGTGTGTCCCACGAGACCGTCGGCTTCGGACTCGCCTTCTCGGTGAATACCATGACTCGCGATTTGTCGGCCATTTCGGAGTCAATCGCACTATTGCACGACTTCGACAACGATTCTGATGACCCAACCTCATTACCGATGTCACTCGGTATCGCGACTCTTGCGAAGTTTGCTGACGAAGCAAGCCCTGCAACCGCAATCCCTACAGCGAGTTGCGCCCGATGCCTATCCCACGAGAACCCGGCCTCTCCATTGCCATGGACGTCACCGGTCCGTTTCCCCGTAACCGCCTCGGGCACGGCGGCATTCTCACGGTCGTTGACCGTTTAAGTAAGTATTCGCGATTTCTCCCTTGCAAGTACTACGCCACAGCTCCCGAACTTGCGCGCCTCTTGCACACCGGCTGGTTTGCAGCCACGGCATACCGGAAGACATCATCATCGACCGCGACACTCGTTTCATGTCGGCATTCTGGACTTCTCTCATGCAGGAATCCGGCACCAAGATGAAACCAAGTTCGGTTCGGCATCCACAAACGGACGGGCAAACGGAGCGGGCACATCAAACTGCTCAAATGATGCTTCGTACGCTCATTTGTCCGGGTCAAAGGATTGGGTTGACTGCCTCCCTGACATCGAGTTCGTCTGCAACACTTCTTTGCATTCGGCGATCGGCGTGACTCCATTCGAGTTGCACCACGGTGGCCGGAAAGGCCGTATCTTCGCTGATCTTCTCCTCCCACGAACAGCCGACATAGACGCTACTTGCTCCCCCACTTCCGTCCGGAAGTACAGGGAATTGTTGGCTCAAGCCCGCGCGAACATGCAAAAGACTCAAGTCTGCATGCAGCAACAAGCCAACAGACGTCGCGTGCCATGTCCCATCCGCGTCGGTGATCTGGTGTGCACCTTCGTGGAAGAGTTTGCGCTCGAGCAGGATGTTTCGCACAAACTGCTTCCCAAGTGGTTTGGACCATGGCCCATAACATCTGTCGCGGGCGATGAGCCCGATGGCCCCTCATTTGTTATCAACATCCCCCCCCATCCGACGGTCCATCCAGTCTTTCATGCCTCGAAGCTGGCAACGTATACACCAGCTAAGAGCGACGACTTCCCGCACCGACGATCGCAAGATCCTCCATCTATGGATGGTCATCAGGAAGTTGAGCGCGTCATCACGGATCGCACGTACGGCAGCAAGCCTCGACAGTACAAAGTTACCTTCAAAGCATGCAATCCCGACGATACTCGATGGATTTCAGGAGCAGATTTGAAAGCATCCACACCGCTGATCTACGCTCACTACGGGTTAGCTAAGGGAGCTTCACGACCTGCTCCTCCTACCTGGACTTTGGTCCCTCTGTGACGGGGCTGAGGCAACGAGGCTGGGAGAGAGAGGGAGAGAGTGCGAGCACACGCACACACTCACTCAACTCGACGCAGACTCGACACGACTCGACGGATGCAAACACGAAGTGGCAAAGTCACAAAGTCAAAGTCTTGGATTTCCGAACACCATGTCGAAGCAAGTCACACTGAATATGAGCACAACAGGAAATTGGTACGAGACTGGTCCCCGTACCGTACGGGGAGCCAGTATAAGTACCGGTGACACGTACGGTACCAGGGGCATTTTCGCAAAGGCCCCGAGGGCAGAACTGAAAAATGCAGTATTTGAAAGTGGCGCCCGAATTGCAGCATGGCGCCAGTTGTCCAAAATCCTACGATACCAAAGGAGGGGTTTGGAAAAAGGGTGCCAGGCCGAAAACGGGATGCAACCGAAACAACAAAAAGATAGACCAGGGATCGAGCCCTGGCGGAGTCCGTAACACTATCCCCTCCCTCTAGAAGGCAACGTCCCGACTGCCAAAAATCATGAAGCAATGTTGAAATCTGTGAAGGACGAGACGGGGCCGGTCACTGGTAAACAAGTCGAAAGGGAAGAGGGGTATAATGTGGGTGGCATGGGCTGCGGGAGTAAGAGGGAACAGGGTTTGGTACCGGTGAACAGAGTTGTCCTACTGATGAACTAGGGGGGGTTGCAGGGAACAGGGTAGTCCTACAAATGAACTCAAGGGATGGCAGGGAGCAGGGTAGTCCTACTGATGAACTAAGGGGACTGCATGGTTTGCTATAGGTTAAGGGGGAACAAAGTTCAGGGAACAGGGAACTTCTATTGATGTTCTACTGGGTAAGGGAAACGGTGTTTAGGAAAATAGGGTATTTCTATTGATGTTGTAGTGGGTAAGGGAAACAATGGTCAGGGGAGCAGGGGATGTCTATTGATGTTCTAGTGGGTACGGGGAACAATGGTTAGGGAAACAGGGATTTGCTAATGATGTTCTACACGGTTGTCGAAGTCAGGAAAAATAAAAATGAAAATGTTTGTTCAGGATGCAAGGGCTGGTGTGTCCGAAGGAGTCGGAAGCAGAATCTCATGTAGGAACAAAGTGTCCAAGTGTCTTGAAAGGGGGTGTGCACCAGTCTTGATCAGGTCTTTGGAGTAGGTGGTAGAAGCGGTCTTAAGCGGCTGCGACAGGTAGAAGTCCAAGAAGCGTAGTAGTAGTTCAAGTGTCAAAGTCCAAGAAGCGTAGTAGTAGTTCAAGTGTCAAAGTCCAAGTGCTAGGGTGCGTCCGGTACACAAACTGCAATGAGGTCTGATCTGGAAGCAAGGAGGTCGCAGACTGATGCAAAGATCCATGTCACAAGTTGCTGCTCCAGTAAGTCTGCGAGTCGGGATGCCGGGCGATGAAACAGCATGGTGGCCAAACCAGCTGCGTAATCTCCATGAACAGTGACGCAGCAGACCATCGTCCTCGTGAGCGAGCCATTAGATCCTTTATCGCCGGCGTCACACAGGTTCACAAGCATTGGACAAGAGAGACAAGGTAGTGGAGAGGACAAATGGGACAAAGCTAGGCGAGAGGGCAAGGGCAGACCAGACATCAGGAATGAGGGTCAAGGGGAGGGTGGACTGGGTTCAAGGGTGTGTGTAGAGCGGGGTTGCAAGGTTGTAGCAGGGTTTATCCAGGGGTTTAGGGTTGGATTGCGAGAGACAGGGGGATAGTGTTCAGGTGGAGGGGGGCCCGACTGTCGCGGTGGAGGAAGAAGTGGGAGTAGAAGGGTCGGGTCCCGTGGAGCGAGGGGCCTGTGTTACATCTTCGACTCACACGGGTCCTACCGGACCCGACTTAGGGCCGGAGGGACACACCAGGGCCTAAAGGCCCGACCTTTGGGGTTTACAGGCCCTAAAGGCCTGATTTTGGACTATCACCCATCGGGTAGGCCCAAACGACACTTCGTTTGGGCCTRGCGGCGCTCTTGAAGCTGCCGCCCGCCGATTGAGGYTGAACCGTCCATCTGGACGGTTCAGGGTCTGGCCGGGCCTCGCAGCATTGAKGCCAGACCACTGCCCACCGGTATAAGTACCGGTATCCGCCTCAGTAGTGGGATCGGCCTACCGGAACTCTACCGGCACGGCATGGTCAGTGCTAGTGCACTGTTTTGATGCGCTAAACTTAGCGCAGGGGCTGAAGCAAGAGCGCAGCATAGCGCAGCAGCGGGCGACTGAGCTTGCACGGCGGTTACTACCGCCTGAGGTATTGGGAGCTTGGAGGGTCTCTCCTCCTCTCCCTCGCCAGTCCCCTCTCTCTCTCTCTCCTCTCCCTCCTTCTTCTTCTTCTTCTTCTTCTTCTTCTTCTTCTTCTTCTTCTTCTTCTTCTTCTTCAGATTGGAGACTATCCAGTTGGACAGAGATCAGAGTTGGATTTCGGTGATATGAGACTGTGGTACTTACCTGATTGGAGACTTGGAGATTGTTGGGGCTGATACTCGGCTGCATCACCGTTCGGACAYYGGTTRCATTTGGACTCTGTACCTCCGACCTTGGTGACCTATTGTCCTCGACACTTTGATCTTGTTGGGTGACATTTTGRACTACCATATCGGTGACCTATCAKATTCTATCTCGGTGACTTTCAGTGCTGTCTACCTGCCCCACCTCTTTCGTCTCTCCTCCCCCATTCATCTGTGTATGTTGTGTACGGGGCTGAGCACCGTCCTTGTATGGCTCACAACCCACCATCTCACGATTGTATGTGTGTGGAGTGATGCTATGTGAGTCAGTCCATGTGAGTCAGTCTATGTGAGTCAGTTCGTTTATCAGACTTCCGCTGCATACATGCTCATCCTATATTGGTTGATCTTTGGTTCTGCCCATACTCATCCAAGTATGCAACAGTTTTGGTATCGGAGCAGACCAATAACGAATCTGCTCACCAGGTAAGCCCGATTTAGGTTAGATTAGTTCTTCGATCTTCTCAATCGGCGCTGAATTATTATCAAGATTCAAGTTGCAAATTTTCTTCTTTTTTCGGTATTCTGTTATTCGGCATTACCGTTATTTTTCTTTTCTTTTCGTTTGATTCAGCATTCTGGATTGTCTTTCAGGATTCTGTTTCAAAGCGGTATGCCATGTAAATCAGGTTCTGAGAAATTGATGCCATCCGATATGTTATTAAAATCGGATTTCTGTTTCAAATCGGAATTAGGGTTAAGTCAGTAGTCCGTTTAATTCGGCATTCTGATTTTCATTTCGGTTCTCCGTTTTTAAAAAAAATTCAGCATTCTGTTTAATCCGATATTTCGTTTTCTGAAACGGTAGTTCCGTAATATTTCGWTATTGGAATTAGGGTTACGAAAAAATTTCGGTGTTTCAAGCAAGGTGGAAAATTTCGAACGTTTTGGAACCGTAATTCCGGAAATTTCGYGGAAACGCGGAAAATTAGGGTTGGGGCCGAAATTTTCGCGGAAATATTTTTCGTTCATCTTCTTGGAGAAATTTTGAAAGACGGATTTAGCGTTTAAAAATCGGATTTTGACGGTGGAAATTCCCGGAATTTCACGTTTTGAAATTTCGAGCGTTTTTTCTCTACCGAAATTTCTTAAATTTGTTCTGCAAACTAATCTGTATATGACCCTTCAATTGTAACTACCGGGCAGTTCACTTATTAAACGGAGAACTCCCGGTCTCATAGTAATCTCGAAAGAGACCTAGTCATA